GGTAGACAAATGAGCGCTGCATGCTTTTTAGTGTCTCTTTTATTATGTTTTTTTGGGTGAAGAAAATAAATGAAATGAAGTGTTCTGCCATTCGTGTTATACGAAAACAGCTTACAAATGAAATTAAATGAAACATTTTGTGGAAGTAAACAAGCTGTTAAAACTGAAAATAAAAAGTTCCTTCTTCACCATTACTGTTAATTCCTAAAATATTCATACATTTAATGAACATTGTGCATGATAACATTGCAGTTATAGCTTTTTCATTTTTCACAGAGTGTAAGTACTTGATGGTAGATGCCTTGTGCTCTTCTAGGGAAGTGGACATTGGGCATTAAACAGAGCACCATGGGTTGTAATTAGATTTACAAGGTATGATGTATTAAAAAAGTCTCCTCGGGCTCGGTTCTCTCATTTGCCTAATGCATATGTTATTAGCAATGCCTGCATATGCAGAAAATCTATATTCATTACCAACAAGAATGGGACTAAATGAAATGGCACTGAAAATGTGATAATTATATTTGGTCTCAAGCAAATAAAATATCTGACAAATTAGGGTTCAGGTGGTTCATGAAAGTGCACAGTGTAATGTAGTTGTCAGTGAGAGCAATATTTAGTGCTCTACTAGAAAACTCAGAGTCAATATTCAAATGCAAATCCTGTCTGTTATTTTTGGACTGGGCAAAAACTGGTTCCTATGCTACTAGGTAAGAAACCAAAAGCCAGCAGATATCACACTCTGAGACGTGTGTAACACTCTGTTCCTTCTTGTTTGTCAGTGCTGTGTCTGTTTCAGTGTACTGTGCTGTTCATTTACTCCACTCTATGTACAGGAGCCATAATACAGAAAGTTTTTTACTACAGAAACTTCCTTTTGTCCTGTTAAGATCTGACAAGGACAAGATAAGATTTTTCACAAATTTGTATTGCAGGAGCAAATCCAGGGTTGGTATATAACAGAATACAAGTATTAGAAATATGTATTCAGAATACAGAAGTTAAGAATCATATTCAGTCCAAGTCCCATTTCGTAAAGGCAGTATTCAGAATACAGTTACCTTTTACACTTCTAGGAGAAATCTTTTAGAACACTTGTACACTAATTTTAAAACATATATATCAAAGAAACACCATGAATTCTTGCTTATTAACTTTAGAATCAGTGCAGGCATGTAGCAAACATGTTCATTAGACAGCTCCTAAAGAGGACCTCAATTATTGGCTTCTTTACAACAAGTTCCTACTAAAGCCTGAGTAGACTGATAAACCAATGTAATGATCAGTTATTACTAAACATAAATGGGGAGAGTAGCCCCATTATTTGCTATTTGAGTGAACTTTTAATGAATGGCAGTTAATACTACATTTCCTGTTGAAATGGTCACCCCAACCCAGCTTCCAGCTAATAGTGTTTTACTTTCACTTTAATCACCCTGGATTTTAGTTACAAGGTGGTGAGATGCCTTTAAAATGACGTGAGATTGGATATTTAAGACTGGTACAGATTTGTTTGGGTTTAGAGAGCAATGTAGATGTAAAGTAATATCAATTATGAGATTACTTTTCCTTGGAAATAATAAGTAAAGTGATCTCATTACAGTTTGAGAGAAGTAATAATTGTTAATGTAATATTTTTTTGAGTAACTACCCCACAGGTTAGTGATGGATCAGCTTCTTATTTTGGAGCATAACCATAGTTTTGGGTTCTTGGAGCAGATTGTGTGCTAAAAACTTGAAAAGGATCATTTTGTACCATATGTTTGTGAGCTGGTTAACTTCCCTGTGGGTTATGTTTGTATACTGCTCCCCCAAACACTCAAATTGGCTTGACTGTAAAAATGCAGATACTGCTTCAGGCTTTATGAAAGTAATACTGAATCTACACATGTGGGGTTTCAGGGGTGTCGCATACTGACAACTGTGACCACATCACTTTTAAAATGGCTGCTTTACCCAAGTGTTATTTACCAAAAAATTCAGAGCAGAGAGTGTGCGGCCTGGCGATTCAGCAAAACTAGGCTTGCCTAGTCTTGTCTTATCTCAAGTTAGGAAATCTAAAATGCTCAACTGAGGTTGATAACTAACTGTTGTGTCTGTTACCAAGCAACCAATGGCTGCAACGTAAACATGTGATCAAAATAATGTAGTAAAAAAGCTACAAATTGGGAAAAGTTAAGAATATTGTGACAGCCAGTGTGGAGCTCAGAACCTGAAGAATCCAGAGAGGTTATGTATGGTAGAATGACAGGATAGGAGAAAACTCAGAGCTGTTATATGCATGTTTTCTGCCATTGTGGGTTTTTGTTCTTGTGAAAATGTGAAACCAACCATTACATCTTCTGACCTGCCATACAATACAGTCAAGCAGCAAAGCATGTTTACAGTGTAACGCTAAATGTCTGATTTTATCTGTGTAACATGCTGAATGTCAAGACCTGATAACCATTACATGACTGCAGGCTGTAAGGTCTCTGTCCCATGACCCCTGCTGTTCTGCCCTTTAGCTAAGTGCTTAACCCCAAGGAGTGTACTCTCTGTCAACTCACTCCTCTGCCCTCAGGCCTGAATGCAAATGAGAGCTTGATCTCAGTGCCCTTCTGCTGGGAAACGGAGGAGTGTTACTGGCATTACTGTAAAACATCACCAATTAGGTTATGATGTCTTATTAAGAAGTTAAAACAGCTCTTTTTTTGGCCACAGTGAAAAAATATATTTACACTTTCAATTCAATGAGAAACAAAGTCACTGTTTGACAAGCTCTATTTTTCATATGAAAAAAAAGTAAATGTAACTATCACTCATTATAAGATCATTCCCATAATACTATTGCAATCATCCGCTGCCCTCCTCGATCGCCCTAAGATCCACTCACAGCAAAATGTAGTTGAAAAGCAATCTACAGCTCAGCACGCCAACAGATTGGGTCAAACTCAATGTGTTGTGCATGAGTGGCTACAGTAGTAAGAAAGTGTGCTAACATGGGTGATGTCCATTACTGAGTCCAATTGAAGGTGGTTGTGGAGAAAGGTTATATTTTGCCATCTTCATCATTAAAGATGTTATTTTTACATGTGAACTAAGAATTGGAGTAATTAAATACTGATAATGATGTACTGTCGTATGCAAAAGTGCGAACATAAAAATTTACATATTCATCCTCTACACAGCATTTCTGCAAATTTCAGTGCACCATTTCTATTTATTTGCTTAATTTATTGGGAAAAATAAAATATAAAAGGTGTCCTAACTTTGGCATAGGCTGCATTTTATCCTTTTTTTCAATATCTAAAATTCAGCAAACAAACCGTAATTAAAACTTGCAGAAGTGTGTTCTCTGTTGAGGACGTGTACTTATTTTTTCTTTGAAAATCAACAAAACATGTCATTTGACCAGGAGTGTGCAAACCTTTGTATATGACTGTAATTAGGATCAACTTTGTCCTGGTCCACAGGTTGTGAAATCTCCATAAAAAACCACTGCAAACAGAATGGGATGCTCCGAAGCAGCTGCACATGAACCTAAGGTCAGTGTGCCCAATGCGAAGCATCAGCTACAGGGGCATATGAAGGTGTTATAATAAGTTGTATTTTTAGGTGTTAAATGATGACGGAGAGGGGTTAGTCACTACTAGCCTCAGTGCGATTGTGTAACCTACACAGGGCATATTGTGGTTTTAAAAATATTTTTTACAATGTAAGTGTGGACGTGGTCATTAGAATAGAGCTGGTGCACTGAGCTGTTTACATATACAACTCAAATAAACATGTAGAGTATACATTAGCATGCAAAAATTGGAACACCCCCAGTCAAATGACATGTTCTTTTGATTCTCTACAGTGACCAAACTTAAATATGGCATTTTCTGCACAACATAGTGGTAAAAAGTAAAACATTAAATCTAAAATGCCCCATAACTTTTCCCTAATTTGTTCAATCCAGCAAACAAAGTGAGTAACTGGACATTAGAACGTCAATCAAAACGTGATTTGTCCAGGGGTGCCCAAACTTTTGCACACTATGTATTCACAGATAAACCTTTTGGCACCCCTGTAATGCACACTCGCTCATGAAGATGGACACAAGGCCACTCGTGGTGTTGAAAACTTCCCTGAGCAGCTTCATTCCACCTTTCTGCTTTGTGGCTGAACATGGCGCACGCACACACACACACACACGCACACAGGTGCCCACTTGCCTGTTTGGTGCCCACAGTGCTACAGAGCTGAGTACAGCAGTCCCTGCCAGCGTGCATAAATCTGCCCCCCCTACACATTCATACACACACACACACATATTTATCTTGGGAAGTCATTTAGCACGCACAACAAGCCGACTGTTGCATGCCCAGCAGATGTTAACCACCCAGAGGGAGAAGACGCGTGGGAGAAAACAATACCTCAACTGCCTCAGTGGATTATTTTGGTCAAAGACAAAGTTGAGTTGTTTATTGCCCCTGCAAAACCCATAGAAACCATTACGTGTTTCTGTTGATTCCTACTGGTTTTGTAACATGTTTAGGCTTTTTTTAATGGGTTGACATCACAATGTAAAGGATCCTACTGGTTTGCCAGGTGACCAATGGCTCATTCTAAATGCATTTGATGGTTTCCAGTTGGGATCTAAAGGTATTCTACAGGAAACTAGTGGTCTCTACTGGAAACCATTGAGCCAATTCCCATTAGAAAGCAAACCCTTTAGGTTTTAATCCTAATGGTCCTTTTTCAGCAGCCTCCATTCTCATCTGACTGATAAGTCACAGCAACTAGTGCTCATATCCGGCCAATTAAAGCCTCGTGCTCTTCCTGTTTTTTCACAAACCTGTTCGCGTGCGCAGAGACGCAGACCAGTCTAGTGGTGGTGAAAAGAGTTCAAGGCATTGAATAGGGAGCCGCACACTGACGCTACAGCAGCAGCAGCAGCAGCCTTAGCCACGCGCCGAGAGAGTGTGAGAGAGAGAGAGAGAGAGAGAGAGAGAGAGAGAGAGAGAGAGAGAGGAACCGAGCCTGTTATTACATCCATCACAACAGCTCGCAGACGCAGCCCAGCGTCGAGTCCAACTCACCGCGTGCCTGTAGCACCTGTGCACAACTTTCGCTGGAGTCTGTGTGCGTGAGCGCGCGCCAGAGTTACAGCATGCTCCGCGCTTGGCAATTACGCTCCAACCACGTTTACTCGGCTTCTATTTAAATGCGCTGAACGGGGTTTTCTATATTTTTCGTTTTTATTTTTTTGGAAAGACGTCGTTTCTCAGCTAATGCGAGACCCTCGCCGTCTTCGGAACGATGTGGACCTTACACGACAGTGTTGGATTGGTTTTCTTTTCCTGTTTGTCCATCCAAATCGGATTTTCTCTGCAAGGTAAGCACGACGTTTCAAACGGAGACTTTTCTGAGCTCATCTTTTTGTTTTGACTCGGCCCGTATTTTCTGTTCTTTTTCTTTGCCGTGTCCACCTCGGCGCTCTCCGGGAAGCCGTAATGATGCGATAATGATGTGAGAGTGGTGCGGTTGCTATATAAGCTATTGCATTTTAACGCACGGGGACTGTGGACTTTTTCACTGGCTCCGTAATTAGCAATAAGGTACAACTGTTGATTTGGGAGAGCTCGATAGTTAGACTCAATGTCGGTGGCTAATCTTGTTCCCTCGTGTCGTTAATGATCGCGCGTGAGGCTTTTTCTTGGCCAACTCCTCGACATTAAACGTAAGGGAATAACTTTGAAGGGGACGCGATGCGCGACCTGCATTTCAAGTGGCGGAGCTGCAGAAACGGGGCTTCGCTCGGGCTCGATCGTACTGCGGGGCTTTTCAGCACCACGGATAACTCCGCAAACCCGCCTCAGCCATTCCACAAACGCACGAGCCCATAAAGTGACTCTCTGATTGCGACTTCACCACCATAAGCACTGTTATGTTCTTGTAGTGAACTCAAAGGCAGTAAAAGACGAGGAATGCGTCCTCGTTTTCTCCCCCCATAAGACCTATCGGTCCCCAGACAAAGTCGGGCTTTATCTGTTCAGAAAGTGTTGGTGTATTTTTAATGACGTTGTTTTTTAATGCTTGACTGCATGTGGCATCTGCTCAAGTCTCTGCTGTGTAACTAATAAAAGACGGGCATCGGCGCAACAGCATGTAAACTGTAGTTTGTGCTCCACATTTTTGATGGCCAGTAATTTAACGCCCACCTCTGCTTTGCAGGAAAGTTTACGGATCTGCCTTCCAACATTACTGCGAGAGAGGGACAGAACATTGAAATGGCTTGTGCCTTTCAAAGTGGGACATCTTCTGTTTACTTGGAGATTCAGTGGTGGTTCATACGAGCTCCTGAGGAACCGAGTACGAGCGAGGAGGATGAGGAGGAGACGGAGGTAATTACGTTTTCAACAAGGAGCTATGAAAAAACGCACAATATGCTAATTGTGGTCAAAGTCTGTTCCTGCCCATAACCCAGCATACACCGTTCAGTACTGCAGTGCCAAAGACGTTGCCCGAAATTGGAAATTGGAGTAAAAGGAGGGAGATGAAATGCACCATGTCATTTACTAACGTGATTTTCTCATATATTAGAAAAATTATTATTTTCTGTAAAGAATGGATATGTTGGAAGATCTAAGATATATATATATATATCTACACACACACATTATATGTATATATATATATATATATATATATAGTGCTTTTACTATGCAAAATTCTATGCACTGAATTAAGGTCTAATTTAATTCCAGAAGGTTTGTGGTTGTAAGGCGTTTCACAGAATATTAGCCTGCTGATGAATCAATAAATCAGGTGCATTAGGTTCTTGTTCACATAGAGTTGCAGTAACTGTCTGATTTGTTTGACTTGAGGTTTGTAGAATGCCAGAACGGCACTTTCAGAGCTGTTGTGCAGAAAGGCTCTTAACTGTATGAACAATCTTCACTGCTGAACCATGTCTCATTGCATTATGTTTTTCTGTTTGGCAGTGCCTGCCAGTCTGCTGTGTTCTGTACAGCTATTATACACAATGACTTTTTTTGATAAGAAAAAAAATAGGACACACACACACACACACACACACACACACACACACACAATTCAAATTCCCATCAGAAGTACAAATACAAAAAATACAAATGATTCACTTTTCAACATCAGGAAAAAAGCAGACAACTCTTATTTGACAGATAATTACAGACTAATTTTATGTAATTTAGTGCGTCCACTCTTTGCCTTTTTACAACTTGCACTCTTTTTGGGAGATGTACTTTCAGTTTTCCAAAGAAATCTGCTGGAATATTTAAAGATATTTTGCAGGGAAATTGGTTGCATTTTTTGCTTCTCACAATCTACATAATACCAAACACATTCAGTGATGCTGAGGTCTGGACTCTGGGGTGGTCAGTCCATTGCTCTGAGAACATCAACAGCTTCATTGTTTGCATTGTTTTTTTCTTTTTTTCTGTTCATTTCCTTTTCTCAACAATGGCCTCTTAGCAGCTATACATCCTTTCAGATTCATAGTGTTGAGTTGTCTTCCCACAGTGGAAGGATGGACAGAAACACCTGTTGGTTCTTTCTGAAGTAAGAGTGGAGCTTGATTTTCTCTTCTCTCTCAGAGATGAAAGCTTTAAGTGCTGTTTATGTGATGGTGACAGTTTGATGGTCTACAAGGTCTTACGTAGTAGTTAAGCCTCCAATTTTTGCTTCCTTATGCAAGTGAACTGTCTTATATCTGATCTCCTCAGAAATATCTCCTGAAATAATAAATAACTTCTGCTTAATTAATGATTGAACAGAAATTAAATAAATGAAGGATAGCAAAATGAATACATTTTAACACAATGAAAAGGGTAACAGCTGCTTTCAAATAATGCAAAGTGAAAAGGTTTTTAAATACATAAATCCATATGTTTATCTGCTGTGAAGCTCTATCAAAGCTGTTTTGTTGTACAAATGACAAATGTCAGTGTGATTCAACCTCCATGGTTCTCACTAGATTTAAGACTTGCCTGGTTTTGAGAATTGCTGTGACACACTCGCTCTGAGGCGACTGGTCTCATTTTGAAGGACAGGTCGTTGGTCTGAGGCATATCTGAAGATGGCATCTTAGGCTCTGAGCACGCTTATTAGTGATGGCATTGACTGAATGACAACAAGTTTGTGTCTGACCATCTGAATCTTTGTGTTTTTAAAAGAAGCTGCTTCTGACACATCCATGACAACAGAGCAGGAAGACTAGACACGCGAGTAGAGTAGCGTGTGACATGTTACATGTTTATTAATAAAGCAAATTTGAATCTGTTGCCAGAATTATGAGTCATGGCTTGCATCTTTCCTAGTGAGGCATGGAAGTACTTAACCTCGTCAAATCCTGCATAAGCACGCTGAGTGAATGCCGTAGCCTGTTATGACATTTCTGTAAGTCATCAAAGGCCATGCTTTATTACAGGGGAAATTGCCATCAGTTGCACTACGGTTATACTACCACTTGCTTCCGATAAGAGTTCAGTCAATTGGTGTACATTTAGGGGCATTTGGCAGTTTGTCATTGTTGACATTAAATGCAGACATATCTCCTTTGATGTGTTTTTCTTCATCCAGTCTGCACAATGAGGAGAAGGAGGCCCTTCCCCCAGCCCCCTAGAAAAATCTGTTGGGGTTTAATACCACTATTACTGCACTATTGTTGTCACTCATCATGCACATATTGCCAAGCCTTTGATCCACAGCTTCTATCAATTTCGGATGTGGAATGACAATGGCTGCTGTGCAGCGTGTGGCGTCATTCATTGAAACTCATTCTTTTCAGAGTAGCATGCTTCAGATGACAGGCAGCTGGGTCCCTGGTGAACTGGGGGGTCTGACGAAAACAAGGATTGAAGAGATATCCTATAAAAAGACACATCCTCGACAAGTCAGCGTAATAAGATGGGTGACTATTGCAAATGGGCTCTGATACGTTACACCGAAAGCACTCACCTCTGAAGGGTACCCATTAAGAGTATGCGAATATGAATTTCTGTTGAGCATGGTGGGGAAAAGGCGAGGTGGACTGCAGCACCGGCGTCATTGTGTCATAGCATAATGCATAATGGATCTCATCCATGTACCCAGAATCTCCAGGCATCGATTTATCACATCCGTACTGTGAACACGCTATGTGAGAAATAGAAGTGGAGATCCCTCTGACCTCTCAGTGCTATTAATAACTTTAAATGAAGAAATATGCACATTAGTCATTCTAACCATGAACTTAAGCACTCACCCCTCTTCAGAGTGGGATTCTGTTTACTACTTCTTTCCCTGATCTTTTCCACAACCATCAATTGCAGCTTCAGTTCTTTATCATTTTAGTTTGTCATTTCATTGAGTTCTTTATCATTTCACTGGTTCTGAATTCCATGGAGTGAGGTTCATAGCTGTTATTACCATTGTAGAGAGAACAAAAAGAAATGTAAATAACAAAGATCCAACCAATGGGGCTCAGATTCCCAAAAGCATCTTAGTGTTAAGTTCATTTTAACTGCTACAGGGTATAAAAACTCCACCCCTAAGATTATTCATGTATGTTCAAAGGGAATCTTGTTCTGGCATATTTTGATATTATTTCTGCCTGGGACCCCCTTGGGGAATTCCACTAAGGACACCATTGTCTCAAGAGGCCACATTTAGTTTTCACCCCTCTGAGAGAGTGCTGTGCATAATGCTGCATCAGAGGGTACATTTTCTTTTTTAACCAGTATTTATTTAAAGGCTATTTTCTGGTTTCCCTTTATTTTCTATTCATGGAGGCCCATTCTGCAGCATGTAAAACTTTTGACCCACAGTCTTGAAATAATAGGGCTAATAATAGGCCTAGCATCTCAAAATAATGACTTACTATGTTGAAATAATGTTTTTGTAAAATTTAAAGAAAGGAAGTAACTAATTTGAGAAACCTAACTTATTATTTCAAGATAATAAGTTAACATTTTGACATTTGAAAATTAGTAATAGAAAGTAAGTCCAACTTTTGAGAAGTCAAAATTGCAAGAAGATAATTATATAATATACAATACATATTTTGAGATGCAAACGCAAGTCATTATTTTAATATAGCAGGTCAATGTTGCTTTAAATCCACCTGATTTGTATGTTGGTTCCACATTAAAGAAATACACTACATCAGCACAATTACTAATGTTCATTTAATTTACTGTTGGCAACAGTTGTGTTGATGTAATTTATTTTGGTTACACTTTATTTGGATGGTCCCCTATAGATAATCTACAGACACTTATATTATTACCAAACTTTCTGGTGATACTCAGTTGGTTATCAACAACATTAAGATTAGGGTTAGGTCTAGGAATAGGTGTAGGTATTGCCTTGAGGTTAGGGTTAGGGTTAGATTTAATAGAATCTTTTACATGCAACTTCAAGTTCAGTTACATTTAATAGCTATTTATCTGAATGTTACTTAAAGGTAAACTGAGTATCTACAGTGGACCATCAAAATAAGGTGTTCTGATTTTTAATTATGTGGAACTGATGTACACATTTAAACCAAGTAAATTCAAAGCAACAATTTTTTCAGTGAAGATTTATTTTTTTGAGAAAATAAGTCATTATTTTGTGATACTTCATGAAAACTTTAACATACTACTGCCAGAAACAGAGAAGAAGAGAAAAATATTTATTTCTTCTCCACTTGGCTGGAATGGGCTTCCTTATGTCTTTCTAATCTTTAGAAATATATAAAAAAAATTGACACAAAGCAGTTCTCTAGTTACTTACACAGGAAAGGTCCATTAGTGTATTAATGATTTGCTTTAACATGCAATAATGCCAAAGGTCAGACCACACAAGAGGAGTATGCCCTAAAGGGCACACTAATGTGAACATGCTGTTTGGGCACTACTCACATAGGAAGATTATACAGGAGCCTCACATTATAGATAAGATTTTCCCAAAAGCATTGTAGCACCAAGTGCATCGTAAATCCTGCCTTAAGATTATTTGTTATCAGTAGACAGTGCTTTGTGCCAGACCTACTGCTGGAAGAGATATTGGCACTAATGCTTCTTAACGTGGCATTAACTCTCTCGAAAGTTCAGCAATTTTAAAGATTTTCAGGAAAGAGTCACAAATGTAGTGCATATTTTTTCACTCATCCTTGATAAAATTGCTTACTACAATGTTGGGAAATCCTGGCCAGCTGTTGAGTGATTAGATCATGCAGGGCAGACCCTTATTAAATACACTTCATAAGGAAGGTAATATTTAATGGGTTATAGTGTTGTTGAGTGGTGTACCTGAAAAAAAGCTCTGCATAGCAGTGCAAAGATGAGCCTTAGGCTTATAGTCCCAGCTGTGTCAGTGCAATGAGATTCAGGTTCAAACC